ACGGAATCACAGACTCACAGAACGGTTTGGGTTGGAAGGGAGCTTAAAGCTCATCCAGCTCCAACCCCTGCCACAGGAAGGGCACCTTCCACTAGAGCAGCTTGCTCCAAGCCCTGTCCAGCCTGGCCTTGAGCAGTGCCCAGTCAGCCCCAGTGCTGGGGACAAAGGGGCTCTGTCACCACCCAGGTACTGCAAGGGTTAAAAGCATCCCCACACAGAGGATGCCCCAGGACTCACCTGCAGCAAGGCCTGGGTGGATGGAGGTCTCCTTGGGGGTGCCGCTGCCCTGAGGAGCATCTTCAAGGCTGGATCCCACATGGTGGCTGAGGTGAGAAGCCCTTCCAAGGTTGGCCCTTGCTCAGCTGTGAGAAGTGGCTTCCAATGTCAAAGCTAAACCTATGCTCCCCCATGATGGTTTTTGCCCTGCTCCAAAAGCAACAACGACAACAGCAAAAGCATTTAAAGGATAATGGAAAGAAACCAAGAACCCACAGGGACCCCGCTCCCCTTTAAGCCCTCAACCTTACTTCACAGTCCTACACAGCATCCTGCTGCCAAGTCTTCTCTCTTTGCACCTTGGGAAGTCCAAGGTACCCAGGTACTGATAGGAGATCCCTTGACCAGAACAGGTGGGGCTGCTTTTGTGGTCCTGATTGTGGTTAAGATTAGAGCAGGTTGTGCATTTCTAGTGAGGACTTGACAACAAAAGCAAGTGGGGATGGAGGAGAAGGAGAGACAGGAGAAAGGAAGCAGCATGGCTTTGTGCCCGGGTGACGGTAACAGTCCAGGAGCCTCACTGCACATTGGGCAGCTGATGAGGTTAGGGAGGTCCCAGGCACAGTCTCCCCTTTCCCTGAGGCAATGGAGAAGTTTCAACACCCCTGCCCAGCATGAGGTGCCCCTGGCTTCTCGCCTAGGTTGTGAAATGGGCATTGGAGCCCACTCAGCCCCACTCACGGCCCTAAGGCCACCCCAGGAAGGGCTCTCTCCTCCTGCCTAAATAAAGAGGAAAACCTCATCTCCTGGTGGAAAAAGATGGGGCTGAGGGACAGTGTCAGCTCCCACAGAGCCTGGGTACATGAGAGAAGGCAGAGCTGCCGAGATGGGTGTTGTGAGGGCTGGTTTTGTGTGCCTGTGTGTGCATGTAACCTGCCCAAGGGTTGTGCTTGAGAGCCGGGGAGGCAGAGGAAAAGAAGGTTCAGGTGTGTGCAGGGAAGCGTGTGCATGAGTGGGGTACATGCACATACATGGACACACATGAAGGGACAGTGCGGGTCGGAGGGTGCGCTCAGGGAAGGGGCGTGAGTGTGTGCAGGAGAGGACGAGGCAGACAAAGAGCCGCACAGGCGGGCAGGGGCAGACCCCGGCCCTCCCCGCGGTGTCGGGGCTGGGGGTAGGCAGGTGAGCCCTGCCCGAGGCTCCAGGCAGGGGGGCCATGGGGGTGTTTGTGCAGGAGGGACGCGTCCGAGCATCGCCTCCCGTGAGCTCGGGCTTTGCCACTTCGTTTCCTCGCCGCCTGGGTCCCCCCCCCTCGTGCACGGCTCGGGGCGGGCGCGCACTCGGGGTCTCGGTTCTAATCGCAGCCGCTGTAAGAGGGAAAACCCCTCGGAGCCCCCGCCGGTGCCGACCCGTGGCAGAGCCGCTGTCCCCGTCGGGGTTGAGCAGGTCACGTCTGTCCGGCACCGGGGCGGGGGGGATCCGGTGAGCCTCTGCTTGAGGTAACGCCTTGCTCGTGAAATTCCGGTCTCGCTGGCAAAGACCTCCTGCGGGAGGGGAGAAACGGGGAAGGAGAGAAAAGCAGAGAGAAACCGAGAGATCGGGGCTGGATGTGTGTGAAATGAGAGGGGAAAACGAAAAACAGAGCGGGGAGGGGCGGGAGAGAAAGAGAGGGAGACAGAGAGAGGAAAACGGGATAGGGGGAGAGAAAGAAAAAGGAGGAGGGAGGGGAGAGAGAAAGAGAACGAGAGAAGGGGAGAGATTTGAGAGACAAAAAAGAAAAGGAGAAAAAAATAAAAGGAGGGAAACAGGGGAAAAAAAAAGAAACTGAAAAAAAACCTAAAAATAAATTAAAAATAAAACCAGAATAAAAAACAAATGAGAAAAACGGTTAAAAGAAAAAAAATCCCCAGAACAAACGGGAAAACAGAAAAAGGAAAAGGGTTTTAGAAAAGTAAAAAAAAAAAAAAGGAAAAAAGGAGATAAAAGAAAAAAAAAATTAAAATAAGGAAAATAGGAAAATAACAGGAGAAAAGCAGAGCGGGGAAGAGCGAGCGAGGGGGAAGGAAGGCGGCACAGAAGGAGGGGAAGGCGGAGGGCAGCCGTGCCCGGTGCCCGCGGGGCCAGGCGGGAGCGGATGGGCCCGCACGGTTCAGGACCCTGGAGAGCTCCGCGGCGCCGGACTCTGGGGCCCGGGGGGGACCGGAGGGGCCAGGGGCTGGCACGAAGGGAGCCGCGCTTCCAGGGCCTGGCAGGGAGCAGGGGGGAACGGGGTGGGTCGGGGCCGCTGTCCCGGCAGGGTTCCTCCATGCCGGGGCTGAGCCCAGCGGGACCCGTCCCGGAGCGGGGCTCCGAGCCCACCCGGGATGAGGGAGCGGGACAGCGGCGGCCCTGCTCCGGCAAACCAGCCCCCCCCGCCCGGGAGCTGCTCCCGCAGCCCCTCCTGTCCCCATTGGGAAGCGTGGCTCTGGGGCGCTCTCAGCCCATCCCTGTCTGTGTCCCCTCCGAGTCACCCCCGGTGCCCGTTAACTGGAAGGCAGGAGCGCTGTAACCCGGCCCCCTCATCCCGCCCGCAGGTGCGGGCCCTCTGCTCCCCCCTCCCCATTTCCCACTATAAATCCAAGGGACAGGATCCGGGGGGCACAGCCCGGCAGGGACACCCAGAGACCCGCCAGGTTTGGGGGTCCCCGGGACACCCAGAGACCCGCCAGGCTTGGGGGTCCCCGGGGATAAACCCCCGACAGAGCTCGCTTCAGCCCCGACGGGAGCACCTGGAAGAGCTCCCTTTCCCTTTGCAGCTTCAGACCTAACCCCCCCTTCCCCATTCCCGTCCCTTTCCCCCCCCCCAATCAGAGGGTTTCGTCCCCGCCAGCGCGGACTCCCCACGCACCGGCTCGCTCCGTCCCGCCGCTGCTATGCGGAGCTCCGCGGTTGCCGCCGGCTTTTCTCATGCAGATTCCCTCTTTCACACCTCCCAAACAAAAGCAAACGGGGGCATCGCCTCGCCGTGTCAACACACACGCTCATTAGCGGCAAGGCGGCGGGGGGAGCGGGTGGGAACGACTCGAGCAGCCCCTCCGGGGGGGCGGGCGCTTCGGAGGGAGGCTGGAGCGGGCCGGGGATCACCCGGGGAAATTTGGAGCGAGTCCTTCAGCGCATCCCGTCCCAACACCCCCATCTCCAGTCAATAAGTTCCGAAGCTTTGGGTTTGGCTGCCTCCGGTTCGTTTGTCGCAAACACAACGATGCTCACAGCCAGGCTTCGCCCACCCGCGCTTGGGCACCGCGGCGAGCGGCAACCACAGGGCCCTCGGGCCGGGATGGGATGGGTTGCATGGGGCTAAGTCAGCCTTGGGGCAAGGAGAACGGAGCTCGGGATGGGGCTGGAGCTCGGAGGGGCGGGGGGGCAATTAACGCTTCGCCAATTACCGCCGTCCAAGGGAGAAGAGGAACTGATTGAAACGGCTGTGAGGAACCGCAGGGAAAGTCCGGCCGGGAGCAGGGCGAGGGCAGAGCTGGGGGTTTACTCGGTCTGGTCTGTGGGATTCTTTCCCCCCGTATTTCGGGTCTGGTTTTCCCCTTTCTGCTGCTTCTCTCGGGGCTTCACCCCGCCGCCGGCACCAGCAGCACCTTCCGTTTGGTGCCGTTTCTTCCCCCGAAGCCCCGCGCTGGGGCTCGGAGGGCAGGAAACTGCGAATTCGTTTAAAACAATAAAAGCGGGATAAATAAACCCAGCGTTCCCCTTGCTCTTCGTTTGCGTTTGAGGTTGGGGGGTGGTGTGGGTTTGTCGCTTTCTTTTTCACCCACCCGCCTTTACAGAAACACCCACGGCTAGCAAAGAGCTGCCGCGGGGCACCCCCACTCCCCAGCACCCGGTATGGGGGGGGACGCTCCAGAACCCCTCCATCGGGGCCTTGTATTGTGAGAGATGGAGGGGAGAAGGTGCGGGGAGGGGGGGGCCCGCGTGGGGCTCCGCGCATTGTTTGCCGCGGGTGAACCCGCACACACATTTACACGCACCTCGCCCCCCCTCTTTTTCCCCCCAATAATACGGAAATTTCCATGTCCCAGCTGCCTTCCCCTTTTAACCTTGGTATTAATTTAGGACGGATCTTTTTAAACGCCCCTATAATGCATGCAGGCGCTGCTGGGGGTTTATCTCTTTTTCTCCTTTTTCTCTCTCTCTTTTTTTTTTTTTTTTTTTTTTTTTTTGTACCGTGGGTTATATTTACACCCAAAACAAAATAATTACACTTTTGTTGGCGAGAGAAAGCTGGTGATTAGGCTGCGGCTCTTTGCAGCGAACCCTTTCTCAGTGGTACACCAGGACAATTTTTCACGGCTGGGTGAAATCAGACGCGGGAGGTAATGAATCCTGTGAGCTATTTAAATTTACAATTTGTAACGCAGTCACTCAGAAACGCCTATGGCCCGGCGAGGAGATGCTTGCTGGGTTTGTTTAATGTTAAAACCTGCACCGTCCCCCCTCTCCTACCAAGGGGAAGGAGGGGGACGCGGGAAGAAGAAGCCTCTTCCTTCCCCAAACGCGCTCCCGTCCGCAGCAGCCCCGCGGAGGAGCGCGGAGCGGTGCGGAACCTCCGCTTCCCACCGCGCCCAGCCTCGGCTTCCGCGGGCCGGGCAAAGCTGCGGAGCTCGGCCCTGCTCCGCGCTGCTCCGCGTTTCCTCCGCGCTTCCCGGCCTACAACCAAAAAGAGTTGGAAATATCAACCCGAGTCGCCGGCGGAGCATCCTAGCAGATAGATAATTAATTACAAAGCACAGGGGGAATATGCAAACCGCGTATTACAAATTCTACAGGGCTTAACTGATTGGAAACAGATTATTATCTTGTTTGTCTTTTGTCTGTTTCACTTATCCCTCTGCCGTCTGCTGGGCTGTAACTTGATACACTTTATTCTTGAAAAGGGGCTTTTCTCTTTTTTTTTTAATACATAAATTCCATCAACATCTCGCATAAGCGACGCTGCTTCTCTGTGCGTTACCCTGTTAAAACACAATAGGTTTATTAGTTACATATAGGCGGATATGATGAGGCTGGTATCATGGAGAACGTGGCTGATGGGCTCGGGGCGGGGGGGTGGAGGGAGGTATTTGGGGCTTTGGGGCTTTTTCCCCTCCTCGGCTTTATTTATCCTTCTTCTTCCAAACAAAAAAGGGCGCTGAGAGAGGCAGCGGGGATCGGGGACCCCCGATATCCTCTCCCCCGTCCTGCATCACAGGGGACAGCAGTGGGGGCGGCCCGGCTGTCGGTACCGATGGGGAAGGCACCAGCCGGTAGCAAGGGCCATGAGGGTGTGCGCGGGGACAAGAGACGCATCCGCACATGGCCCATACCGTTATCCACAAGGAGCCCGTTACGGCGTGGCCCCGCATGCTGCTCCCGGCCCCGCCGTCGGGGCTGCGGCTCTCCGCGGATATGAAAGACCCGCGGCGGCTGCGAGCGGGGCCGACCCGGCCCCGGTGCTGCTGGACCCCGTAGGAGCCTTCCCCGAAAGCCGGGGTCCGCAGCGGGCAGGGCCCCGCTCCGAGGCCCCAGAATCCCCCCAACAGTTGCCCCGCAAACTTGGGCAGAGCCGCGGCTTGAGCGCGGCAGCGATCGGCGGCCGATCCGGTCCCTCTGCCTCCCTTCGCCGTTCCTGCCCGTTTCTTCCCCTTTTAATGCGCTCGCCTCCTGTTGTATTTCTTCCCTTCTCTCTTCCCTTTCTTTTCTTTTTCCTCCTGCCTTTGTTTCCTTTCGTTTCCTTTCCCTCCTCTTCCTCGCTCGCTCGCTCTGGCGCTTTTCCTTCGCTCTTTGATGTTTCGTTTCCTTTCTTTCCCGTTCTCGCCGTCATTTCCTCCTATTTATTTTCCGCGTTCATTTTTCCTCTTCCTTAATTTTTTCTTAATTTCCGCCTTCTTTCTTACTTTCTTCATTTCCATTTATTTATTCGTTCTTTCATTTATCTCTTTTTTCTTACCTTCTTTTTCTTATCGTTCCTTCGTTTTCAGTCCGTTTTTCCTTCCGTCCCTCCTTCTTTCCTTCCTTTTTTTTTCGTTTTCGTTCATTTATTTTTATTCACTCTCTCCTTTACTTTTCCTTTCTCATTTTATTTTATTTTTAAATCAATGTTTTTGGACACGTTTTCTCTCTTTCCTTCGCTATTTTTCTCTCCTTATTTCCCTTTCCTTTCTCTATTTCTTACCCCCACCCTCTTCTCTCTGCATTTTCATATTTCGATTCTCGCTCTTTCCACACACCCCCCACCCGAGGGCACACACAAAACCTCCACCACTTCCCCTCCGATCTCCTCGCATCTCGGCGGGTGGATTTTCTTCTTTCTCCTCTTTTTTTTTCTTCTTTTTGGCGCTACCGGACACGTTTCCGCGGGGGGGAAACAACACAAACAATTAGAGATTTAGGCATTTCGGCAGAGGAACGGACGGGAATGGGGACGGGAGAGCCGGCCTTCACCTGCCCCGCCGCTTTCCTCCTCCTCCTCTTCCCCACGACCCCCAGGGCAACCCCATTTCCTCCCCGAACCGCGGGGAAACAGAGGGAGAAGCTGCCGCGCTACCCCTCACACCGGCCGCGCTGGTCAGGGAGAACCCCCATAACCCCCTTCCGTAGCACCCCCCCCCAGAACCGCTGTACCGGCTCCAGTCCTTCCATCCGTCCCCTCCAGCACCACCGCTCCGCCGCACCTGGAATTAAGGAGAAACAACGGTGTCGGAGGCGCTGCCCCCCCCCCCCGGGGGTCCCCAGCGACTTACGCGGAGTGCGGAAAGCCCATGGGACAAAGACTGAAAGGGGCGGTTGTTGGGTGGGGGGGGGGGGTGCGCATACCTCCGCGCAGCGCGCAGCCAGGGCAACTTTTCATCCTGCCACGCTGCGCGGGGTGACACCCCCCACTCCAAAATCCACCCTCCGCCCCGTTTTCCTCGCTTTTTGCTCTTCCAAAACCAACCTAAAATGAAATCAAAGTAAAAGACTAAATCAAGTCCCAAACCTGGCGCTGCTCTGCCCCGGGACCCCCTAAAATCCGCTTTTAAAGGAAAACAAGCAAAGGAAAAGGTTTTCTTTTGGGGGGAAGCGTGGTTCGCGGGGGGCCCCCCCGGCCCAGCCAGGTGCGTACTCACTTGCCGGCCCAGGTACAACCACCCTCAACAATAGAGGCGCGTTGTTTTTTTCCCCTCTGTGCCAAGCACAAGGCTGGAGCCAATTTAGATATGCTATAAATTAAGAGGTTGCCATGGTGACCGCGCTCCCATTGGCCGCGGCCGGGACGACGCGGCCCCCGACGTCACCGAATCTGAATAAGGATGCGCGAATTACTAAGGCGGGGGACAAAGCTGGCGATGGGGACAGCATGAGAGTGGCGGCGGCGGAGCTCAGCGAGGCACCGGGGCTGCCGGCTGCAGGGGGGGGGTTCATGCACCCCTCCCGCCGCGCCCGCTGCCGCAGAGCCCGCCACCAGCGCGGCCGCCGCTCCGCCGGCTCCCGGGACGCTCCGGAAGGACCGAGGGGGGCGGTTGGGTTGGGGGGTTTATTCTAATTATTATTATTATTATTATCATTATTATTATTATTATTTCTCGGGGGCGATTTGGAAATTCCCCCCCCCCTTTTTTTTTTTTATTTTATTTTTAGGGGGGGCGCATCCTTTTTCCCCTCCCGCCGCCGATGCTCCGGAGAGAAGAAGGGGAAGAACTTGACAGCCGCCTCGCTGCCCTCCCCTAAATCTTTTCGTTATCCCCTCTTCTATTTCTCTGTGATTTGACCATTATTCGATTTTTTTCCCCTGCATTTTTGAGTCGTCGCCGTGTGCCGGCGAGGGGTTTTTGGGCTTTTTTTTTTTTTTTCCCTTCCTTTTTCCTTCTCGTTTGCGCGTCTCCACCCCCGGCGGAGGTTATGATGGTGCATTGTGCGGGCTGCGAGAGGCCGATTTTGGACCGGTTCCTGCTGAACGTCTTGGACAGGGCATGGCACATCAAATGCGTCCAGTGCTGCGAGTGCAAGTGCAACCTCACCGAGAAATGCTTCTCCAGGGAAGGCAAACTCTACTGCAAAAATGACTTTTTCAGGTGAGCATCCCCCTCCCCTTCCATTGCACCTCGCCGAAGGGTGCGGAGGTTCTCACCGTCCGCGGCCTCACGGAGCTTTGCGGGGGGCTCCCCGCATCTCCGCCCATCGCTTTGCACTGGGGACCCGCACCGAGTCCGCTTCGGAGGGGGAAGCGCAGGGGGGGGCTGCGCTTCGGACGCTGCTGCAGCCGGAGGTGGGGGCACCCCCCCCATGTCTCCCCATGACCTTGCCTCCACCAGCACCGGGCCCCTCTCCGCCGGTATCGTTCCTCAGCCCGTTCCCGGGACACCAGGCCCCGGTGAAGCCGGTGGCCAAAACCTTCCCCCCCCACTTTTACCGGTCCTTAAACGCCCCTAATGACTGCGATAAGGTTCCCCTGAGGAAATTAGGGGCCGGGGTGGGAAGGGGGGGGCAATGACTTATGACTCCTAATGCTCCCACTACATCAACGTCACGGGGAGCAGCAGCGAGGGAGGCAAGAAGTTGTGCCACGACCCGAGGGGAAAAAGGGGGGCACCCTGCATGGGCCCCCTCTTCCCATAGGGCCTGGCAGCAGCCGGGGACCCGCTAGCGGCGGCCCCGCGCCAGGGTTTGGGGGGATTTATTGTTTGGTTTGGGGTTGTGTTGGCTTATTTTATTTTCATTTTTATTTTGCCTTTTTTTTTTTTGCTTGTTTTGGGGGTTTTGTTTTTTTTTTTTATTATTATTATTATTTGGGGGGGTGTTTTGTTTTTATTTGTTTGCTTTTGTTGGGATTATTTTGGTTGGTTGTTGTTGGCTTTGGGTTTTGTTTGATTTTGGGGGTTTGGTTTTTGGGGGGGTTGTTTTGGGATTTTTTTTGGCTGTTGGTTTTGGGGTGGTTTTTTTGTGGGGGTCTTTTTGTCAGTTATTTTGCTGGGTTTTGGATTATTTTTTTTCCTCGCGGAACCGTTCCCAGCCCGTTCGAATTCCCTGGAATTGAGTTTAATTTTTTAAAGAAGCATCTCCTGGGGAGTAAAAAATGAAACAAAGCAAAAAAATCCCAAACCAAGCCAACAAACCCGGCTCTGCCTCCAGCCAAGAGAAGGAAAACCGGAGCTTTCCAAAGCGCCATTCCCGACCAAGGAGAATTCCCCCCCTGGAGAACGGGACAGCGCGGGGCCCGGGGGGCACTTCGGGGAGCAGAGCTGCTTACACCGCCTCCCGTTGTTGTTCTGTCCTGGGGGCTCAGTGTCCCCCGACCCCACCGCTCCCTTTCCCCGTCGCTCCGGCCGCCACCATTCCCGTTTCTTCGCCGGGATTTCCAGGCCGACACCTGAAACCTCCCGTTCCCTTCCCGGAGTCACCGGTTGGAGCGAAACCCGCACCCGCCCCCCGCTTTGCGGGCTGAATGCTCCCTCCTCATCCTCCCCCCCCCAAAAAGGGACAGCAGGGAGGGGGGGGGGAGTGGGTGGGATTCTCCCGTTCCCCCAAATCTCCCAGCGGGAGATGCTGCAGGCTCGGACTCCCGCGGTGGGATTTGGAGCAGGGGGGCTCGCTACAGAGGCCCCATCGCCGCCGGGGCTCCCAGCTCTTCGCTTTTCTTCCCCCTCCGCAGGAGGTTTGGTACCAAATGCGCCGGCTGCTCCCAGGGCATCTCCCCCAGCGACCTCGTCCGGAAAGCGCGGAATAAAGTGTTTCACCTGAACTGTTTCACCTGCATGGTCTGCAACAAGCAGCTCTCCACGGGCGAGGAGCTCTACATCATCGACGAGAACAAGTTTGTTTGCAAAGAGGATTACTTGAACTCCCCCAGTCTGAAGGAAGGAAGCCTCAACTCAGGTACGAGCGGCCCTGCCCTCCGCACCGCCCGACCCCCGGAGCTTTAGGGTTTTTTTTGGGGGGGGGTGTGGGGGGTAAGGGGCTGCACCCCGCAGCCAGCCCGACCGTCATCGTTAATCCGCGGGGAGAGGGAGGGATGTGGGGTGAAAGCCTTCAATCGGGGTGGAAGCGATCGCACCCCCCGAGGGATGCGGACGCGCATGGGGCAAGGGGCGGCCGAGGTGCAGCCCCGCAGCATCGCTCCCAGGGGCAGCATCCCCCCCCCCCCCCACCGGACGGTGAGGAGCCAGGACCCCACACCCCGTCCACCCCGGCCTAGCCCGGTGCCCCTCCTTCAAACCCGGGAGCATCCCCCTGCGAGTGTGCCCGGTCCCCCCGCGCCGCGGGCCTGATCCTTCGCCTCCTTTCAACCCAGAGGCAAAGCTCCCATTTGACTTCCTTGGAAGCTGTCTCTGCGTCAGGACAGCAGGATCAGGCCCACTCCCGCTGTCCCAGCCATGCCGGGCGCCTGTGCTCACCCCCTTCCGTGGGCTCTCTCTCCGTCCAGCACCCGGGGCCGGATCCTGCCACGTCAGTCAGTGGGGCCGCTGCTGTGAGCGAGGCGAGTAGAGCATGGCCTTGGGGGGGTGCTGGCATCAGGGGCCCCGGGAGGAGGGGTGGCTGCGTGGGGGGGGTGAGCCAGGCTCAAGGCAGCGACTGGGGCCCCCACCTCCCCAAGCCCCGACAGGGACCGGCCGCATTTTTCCCTGCGGCGCTTCCCGGTGTGCAAGGCGCAGGCGGGGGGAAAAGGGGAGCTCGGGGGCCTGAGGGGGGCTTGGGGGATCCCCCCGTCCCCAGCTGCCCCCGGACGGCACAACGTGGTGCACAGGGCCCGGTCGGGCAGAGTTTACCTGGAGCTCTGTGTAATGCTGGGGGGCTGATGCTTTCGGGGTACCAGGGGGGCAGAGGTGATCTGCACCTCTTGCTGCTCTCCAGCACCCCCAAACGCCTCTCCTGGAAAGCAGCCGGGCTGGGGAGGGCAGAGGAGAAGGGGGGTTGATGTCTCCCCTAAGTTATCCGCACCCCCCCCCCCCCCCTTCCTTTCTGGGTCTCCTTTACAGTGTCCTCATGTACAGACAGGAGTTTGTCCCCGGATCTCCAGGACCCCATGCAGGACGACACGAAGGAGACGGACAACTCGACCTCCTCGGACAAGGAGACCACCAACAACGAGAACGAGGAGCAGAACTCGGGCACCAAGCGGAGGGGGCCCCGCACCACCATTAAAGCCAAGCAGCTGGAGACCCTCAAAGCTGCCTTCGCCGCCACCCCCAAACCCACCCGCCACATCCGAGAGCAGCTGGCCCAGGAGACCGGCCTCAACATGAGAGTCATCCAGGTAGGGCAGCCCCAGCCCATGGTCCCATGGTGTGATGTGGCATCATTCCCATCATAGAACAACATCAGCACTTCATGGGGCCATTTCCTCCCATGGCAGGGGAAAAACCCGCATAGGAAGGGAAGGAAAAGAGGTGCTGTAGGAGCTCTGATAGCTCAAGGCTGTCACGGTCTCCCCTAGGTGCTGGGAAGGGGCTGGGACACTGAGGCTGATCCCATGAGCTCTGGAAATGGGGTCAGGCAAATCCCATCCATCCCCTGACAGCGTCACACCTCTGCTCCAG